CTGGTAAATGTCTTAGTTCTGGGTCTTTTGTTCGAGTCCTATTGAGGGAGGTTTCCCTACACACCATTTTGTAGATTTATCTCTACTCATTAAAATATTCAGCATTATTGTTGCAAATTTCTCTTTCTTCCTCACTCTCATCCTGTTCGTCTCTTGTTCTGTCAAAGAATCGACTTCGCGACTCTCTAGATGGTCTTCGTCACTTCTACTTTCATCACCTAAATCGTCAAGAAGATTATTTTCATCAGCATCATCATTCAGCATTCTTAGAATCTCTTCTGAATGAGCTGGCTTTTCTAAATTATATATTTTTTTACCACTCGCCATATTTACTAGCCTATAAAATGTATGGACTCAAGTTAGTAACACATTCGGGCGCAGTGAATCTCGTAGATACTTTCAAAAAATTGCAATTAAATGAGAAGTATTGAGATATATATTCAAAATACGTAAAAAATACAGAAAAAGAATACTTACATTCACAAAAAATTGCAATATTCGTACGTATCAAAACGTTGCACGTTCGGGCGCAGTGTATCTCTAGGATCAAAATACCGATTGCCACTATATGTGAAGGTCAAACACAAAATGATAAAGACGCATAAATAAAACATATAAATTAGGAGGCTATTGAAGAGTGGAGGTTTCTATAACATTCAACCAAGGCGCAGCATGAAAAATTATTGGCTCTGTATCTGTCAGATCGGCTGCGCCCGACGAAGGGTTAAACATTAATTTGAACTCTGCAATTCAGTTTATATAATTCTTATAAATATTAGACAATGTTACAATATTTATAATAATCTATTTGAAAACATTCAATATTCCTCGATCGTTTCGCTACGGTACGGGAAGTTCCAGCAATTTGCCTTAAGGCACGATGCCATACACACCACTAGTTCTGATAATTTTTAAGGCTAGGAAATTAAAAGAGTTACTAACCTCAAGTTCACAAATGAACTGCAAATGCTTATTAAACAAATTAAAACTAGTTGGTTTGGTATTTATCCTTGAGGCAAGTACATGAACTTCCCGATATGTGTAAATAATCGACTTAATCAATAAAATATAGTAAGTTATAAGTATTCCGAGTGGATTTATTACACATCATTGCAAACGAACGAACGAACACGTTAACTCCGAGTATTCTAAAAGCAAATTTTCACAAATCAATAATTTCAATTAATCAATAATTATAATTGAACCAGTTTCCATGGGACTTTAATGGTTTACTACTATGTTCAAGGCCAAGTACACTATCGTTAAACCAACTAAATCATCTAATTTTATTTTTAACAAACGTCAAAAAAACTACTCATTTTCTCAAACTTTGATGAATTTTTAAAATTACACTACTTGTCCTAAGGCCGTAATAATTCAGTAAGTTCTATAAGACCATGATATATATCGGCAAAAAAAGTTCCATAAAAATCGGCTTAAATTTTTTTTCAACAGTTAATTACAAGAAAATGGCTCAGTAGATTTCACACCAAAACTAATCAGTATCATCGCCAACTAATATCTTTCGAACAGTTTTTGATTGTTTTAAATCGGTTCGGTAGTATGAGCTTAAATGTGGACGAAAGGTTTAACACTTTTTTCCAAATTACAAAGAAACGGCTCGGCCGATCGTCGCACAAAACTGAGAAATGATAATCCTCATCGAGATACATCAAATGCTTTTAAATATCTGAAATCGGTTTCAGGCGTTTTTGAGCAAACGTCGATGAAAGTTCTAATTTTGACAAATGCCAAAAAGACCATACTAATTATCGCAAACTTTGACGAATTTTTAAAGCTAAATCAGTTGTCGTAGGGCCGTAATATTTTAGTATGATCTAGAAGACTATGGTATCTACCGTCAAAAAAATAATCATAAAAATCGTCGAATTTTTTTTTTAAAAAACTTTATTACAAGAAAACGGCCCGGCCGATCTCTACCTAAAACTAATTAGCACGATTCCCAACCAATATCTTTCGAATGGTTTTTGAATTTCCAAAATCGATTCAGAATTGCGGGCTAAAACGTAGACAAAAAATTTTTCACTTTTCTGCGATTCATAAAGAAACGGGTTGGCCAATCGTCGCACAAAATTGACAAACAATAGTCCTCATCAAGATAAATCGAGTGGCTTTTAAATTTTTGAAATCGGTCCAGCCGTTTTCGAGAAAACGTCAATTTACGGCAAAAAATATGTTCACATACACGCACAGACACACACACATAGTTTTTCCAAATTTGGTGTCATTCGATTCAGAATGGCTTGAAACGACGAGAAAACAAAATTAGCAATTCGGATTTTTTTATGAAAAAATAAACTTCTCCTTCGGGAAGTTAACAAAATAAAGTGTGGCCAGGACGATATTTAAATTATTTTTCCTATCACTCTCGATCTATCAAAATTTCACTTATTATTTCTTTAACAGACAGGACCATTTTGTTAAGTAATGAGAAATTTTGGGAAAAACCCTAACTTTAATTCGTTTTATTCTAAATAAGGATTCTTATCCGTCATATGTAGTTAATAACATAATTAAAAATAAATTAGAGTTTTTACATAATAATTTAAACTTCTTACCTTAACAATTCTTATTCTAAATCAAATTCATCCTCTTTAGATAAATATAAAGGTGTTATTTGTTTACCTTTCTTAAGCTATTTTCCTTATTTTTTAAAAAAGTGATTTGCTCTAAAGATTTTCTTTTAGTTTTCAGTTTTGACAAAACGTTCAGTTGCCCTTTTTCTGCTCTTAAATCAAAAACTCCCGCTGATAGGGTTACTGATTCGGTTAACAGGTTGTACTGCAATGATTGCAATAGTTGTTACATTGGAGAAAGTTGCCGATATATACACAAGAGGGTGAATCAACATATACAGGGTGGCTGATATGTATTGCAACCAATTTCAGACCGCTATTATTTCTAAACCGCTCATCAGACAGATGACAGATTTATTCCAGTAATTGTTCATTTAATTGTTTACAAGCGTACAAAAGCATTTTGATCTGTTGCATTCAGAAAAAAATTTATTCGTGATGGAAGTCAAGCGTGATAGTGCGATTGCTTCATACTTGGCTGGAAAACCTTAAGTGGCTATATTTAGAGCCCTCCAGTATTTAAATGCAAACAAATATTTTGTTTCTCGTACCATATCTCGTAACCGTGATACACTCAGTGTTGCACCGCGTCCAAAAAGTGGACGAAAAAAAACACTAACAACCCCAGAAATGATCCAAAAAGTATAGGCAAAAATTAATCGAAATTCGTGTCGCAGTGGTAAAAAAATGGCCCGTGAGCTGAATATGTCGTAAAAATAAATGCAACACATATTGAAAAATGAGCTTGGACTAAAGCCATTGAAGATCCAAACAGTGCAAGAGTTCATCGATGCACAAAAAAAAGTTAGACGGAAAGGAGCCAAGGGATTGCTTCGTTTGCACGAAAGTGGCTAGTTACCGAATTTGGTTTTCTCAGATAGGAAGTCCTTCCAAATCGAGCAGTTTGTGAACAAACAAAATGATAGGGTTTACTTGCCAAAAAGGTCAGCTAAAAATTTACACCTTCGATTGGCCAGCAGAACTCAAGCGCCGCCGACGGTAATGGTGTGAACCATCGTAACGGCCGATGGTGACATTCCGCTCTTATTCATCGACCGTGGGATGAAAATAATTGCCGAAATTATCGGAAAAATGTCTTAAAGGCAGTATTGAAGTCCTGGGTAGACAAAAATTTGGATCGCAGACCATGGACATTCCAACAGGACTCAGCACCATCAAACTCAGCACGCGTCTACCAAAAATGGCTTATAAAAGAGGTTTTTCGCTTCATTTCCATCGCACAATAGCCACCAAAATCTCTGGATCTAAATTCGCTGGACTTTTGTGTCTTGGACATTTTGAAGAGTAAGGTTCGCACTCAAAAATACCAAAGTGTCGATCATCCCATAAAGGCGCCTCGCCGGGAATGGACCAAAATACCCCAGAGCCACTTTCGTGCAGCGTGTTATGGTTTTTCTGCCGTTTGAAGGCCATAATTCGTGCCAAAGGTGGACAATTAGAACAAATGTAAACTGATTCTAAAATTTTATGTTATTTCTGACATCTTTGCTTTTGAACAATAAAATTTAAAATGAAAATGACAAAGTTATAGCGCTTTACTTTGTTGCAATACATATCAGCCACCCTGTATATAATTCTAGAAACCCAAATCAATTCAAAACTATGCTATCACAACATATGATTAACTTGAACCATACAACTTGTCAAATACAACCATCCTATATATTGAAAAGAATTGTGACCTTAGAAAGATAGTTGAGTCGTTACTTATATCCTTTAATACTTCTTCTCAATCTTCAGAAAATTCTCATCTTTTACATGACAGTTCTAAAGTCATTATAAATTTCATGAAAAGTAATTCTTTACAGTGTTATAATCTTTCGTTCGTTACATTCCTTCTCTGTTTCTCATTCCTCTTTTGTTTCTTACACCCCGCATTCACTTATTCTACCGCATGTGCCGCTAACCTTGATCAGTTGTGTCACAATGCAAAGCGATTGAACACATACAATATAGGAGACAATATGTGCTCCTTTAATTTCTCTTTATCTAATTATATTAGTTATGATATCTTTCACACAAGTTTAGTGTTTATTAAATTTTATATAATTATTTTTTTCTGTGTTTTTCCTGGTTTGGTATGTATATAAATTGCTCCTTTTAATTTTTATATATTGTAATATAAACTATTGTTATTTATGTAATGTTTTTTAGATTACTGAATGAAAACACACATCAATTAAATACAATTAATAATAGATTAATAAAATAGATAAGATTTTCGAACATTTGCAGAAAAATACACGGGTTTTTTCTATCTCAGTCGACCTTTATTGACCCTGAGACTTCTCTTGTACTTTTCGAAAGGTATTTTTTCATGGAATCCTGTTCATTTTCATTTATATAGTTTCCTGAGAGATATCATTTCACAGTATTGCACCAGTTATTAGCAACAAACAATATAAATGAATCAGAAAATTGAACATCCCCGACCCTTGTACTTCCCAAAAATTCTGCAATGGATCTTGATTAAAATTTTTGGTACATAAATAATGAAATCCTGGAATCACTTTTTTTTCAAATGTGCCTTAAACCCTCTATAGCTTTTCATCCAGTTCTTAACGCATGCGGCATTTTGATAGAATTTTGAACTTTATGAACTGTATTGAATTCAACACTATTTTGGCACTGTGGTACGTGACACTTCGCCATATTGAATTTTTTTATTAATTCATTTGTTTTTCTGAAGTATTCGTTCGTAATCGGTCGTTATCGAGTAGTACCGTACAATAGGCCTACGGGTTTGATTGTACGCCTAGACCGACAAACGACGCTAGTTTTGAATTTGGAAAAAGTAAAACCCTCTATCGCACGAGCGGAACACTAATACGATAAAAAGTTCATTTGTTCTATGTTTACCCCTCATTCGTAGTTTCTATAAATGTTTGAAGTTATTAAAATGAAAAATATTTTTTAGGCAAGACAGATATTACAGCTGTTCAAAGAATGAGATTGCCAGCAAAAAAATAAAAAATACAAGCAGTCAATGAATGTATGTTAATCTCAATTACATAAAGTTCTTCAAACACAATTATATGATGAGTGAAGTTGGAAAAACAATATTTGTTTAGGCGTTGTTTAACATAATCCACTGTGTGAACGAATATTATAAAAGTTATCAATCAGCAATTACTTCATTTCTCTAATGAATGAATTTCTAAATGCTAATTACAATGACAAACCGATCATGTCATATTTGAAGTATGATTTTAGTTACATTATTGCTTTTAAATTTTATACATATTTTTAATGCTATTATAAATATATATAATTTATAATTTATCATTATATAAATGTGTATAATGGTTGACACTAATAAATGTGTGCATCCCGAGTTTTACCATAATACGAATAAACATTATTTAAAATTGTTATATGATATATTCATTTTTCTTAAATGACATATTGTACAGTAGCAAATAAGTTTTACTTATTTACGCGTGTGTATTTGATTCGGCTCTGGAAAAGCTGCTGTACCCTTAATCATGGGAGCACATCAACTTTAGTTCCACAGTTCAGTAAATTCATGTTAGATCGATGATTATTAAACTTATGGTAATTTTATAAATTTATTAAAACTTGGTTATGTCAAACATACGTAAAACAAAAGTTGTATATGTTTTCATATAGATCAAAATATGTTTCTAATTGAAAATTAGCCCATCTCGGGCACTGCGGAGTAAAATGGAAATGGGAAAAACTCTCACACTACTTCTTCCCTAGACAATATTAAAATTTAATATATTCGTTTCTTTCTCCCGATTTTTACGTTCAGAAGGAATACTTAAAGGGTTCTCCGCTCAGACGTGGGCATTCAAATTAATGGCGCAAAAGGGTCTGATCGAGTTTCCACACAGAATTGGCCCCACCCTGGTATTGAAATGATGCCATTTTCGAGAAAATCCGATATACCAAATTTCAAATCCGTAGCTTATCATTTGGCCGAGATATCATTGAAAATATGTGAAAGTGGCCCCTTTTTTCAAAGTCGTTTTTTGACGAAACTCTAAAAGATGTCGACAAACAAATAACGCAGTTCTATTCACATCGATGTGGACTATATTATCATTAATAAATATTCTATGAAAAAGTAAAAATAATTTTTAGTCCATGTGGTAGAACATATTCAAAAGGATGGGGCCAATTCTGTATGGAAACTCGATCAGACCCTTTGAAATGAAAATTAATGAATTTTAGTAATCGAGTATTTGAAACTAATTTTGGTATTACAATCATATTATATTTGTAATAATTCAATAATAACAAAAATATACTAGAATATATTATATTAAGATAAATATACAAATTCTAATATTATCTAGGAAATATATAATCAAACCGTAATATAAATCAACAAAAACATGGCCAGTTGTAATATTCATTTCAACTTATTATAATAAACATTTAGTGAAATTTAGTAAAAAATGCATTATAGTGTTAGTTCGTTCCATAGTCTGTCATTTTTAACTCTCAATAACTAATAATCATCCCGTGCAAAATTTGACATTCTTAAGCAATTCATTTTCTTCTAAACAATTTTAATGAAAACTTTATTAACGAATATACAAAGACAAACGAACAAGAATCGCCATTTTGTAAACTGACACAAAAATAATACTGGTAGTGTACTTAGTACTGGTATAATACTTCTTAGTAACCAACATAAAACATTTGAAAATACTTTTTCGTCGGCTCACTAGCGCCAAATTTGCGACTTCAAATGGAAGTAGCCCTTCTCAATGCGGGTTTTGTTCTGAGATAAAAGGTGCTGACTTCTTCCCTCAATTGAGTTTGAGTTTAACTTAGCTCACAGACCTGCCTTAGAGCTGTACTACCCATTATTATTATTATTATGCACATACATGTTATATGCCGACTTTAAATTTAATTTGTTCACTCCGTGCATTTATATCTAACACAGGTTGTAATCAATAATTAAAAAGTTGTAATTAATATGGTAAAAAGTTCCAGTCCATATTCGAAATATTAACATTTGAAAAATTTCAATTAATTTTGAGAGTAATGAAAAAACTGTGAAATTTTATTTGTCAATGGTTCTGAAAACTTCGAGAAACGTCGATTTTGTCAGCAAAATGTTATAAATCACAATTTAAAAGCGAAATATTACAATAAAATTATGTTTAAAGTCCATACCTGAGGAGCTTGACATTGCTCTCACTCCATTATCAACAACATTATCCAACACATCAACTGCTTTACCAGGTGCATCGGCAACTACCTACATTAACAACATTTTCTTTATTAACAAATCAATACGAATACATAATACATCAAAAGGAGCAATTTATTTTCTTTTGATTTTAAGGATGGATTTACGAATTTTAAAAGAGGAATAATAATTATTTCTCGAGGATACTATTTATCAAATCAATTAACTTCCTGCGATAAACTAGATTAATAAACATATTCAACATAGCTGAATATGTCAATATAAACAATTTTATTTAAACTGGCTTCTTAAAATATTTTTAACTTGCCGTAGGGTAAGTTATAGTAATCGCAAAAAATTCGAAAATGAAAATTTTTATATACCTATTCGTTTCAGAGGTTTCTGAACATTTTGGCATACCTTAGAAAAAATGGATGTATGTGTGTGTGTGTATAGGTGTGTGTTTATGGGTGTGTGTGTGCGAATACAAATTTCGTCGACGATTTCGGGAACACGGTTCAACCGAGTTCGATTATTCAAAAAACATTCGATTCGTATTGATAAGGACACATGCTGATCAGTTTTTGGCATAAGTAGGTCTAACCGTTTCGAAGATATGGGGCAAAATGTGCCACAAACGGTAACTCAGTTTTTAAGAGAACGGAGTGTCCGATTTTAATAATTCAAAAAATATTGTACTTGTATGTACAAGATGAAAAATTTATCAAATTTTCATGAAAGCAGGTCTAGCAGTTTCGGAAATCTAGTAAAAAAAGTAAAAAAAATGTATAAATTTTGTTTACATTCCTATCGATTCCGTACCAATGTTTATCCGTTAGACGGTGACGCGGCGCTTACGCGCTTCGATAATTTGTCTTTATACAGTTAAAGCAATACGATTGCTTTCAAAAAAAGTTCAGAATTTCCAAAACATTTCAAAATTAAGAAAAAAAATGTTTCTTCTTTTTTTCAAAAAAAGTAAATTTTTGTCAAAAATTCATAGTTTCTCAAAAATCTCATTTTTTCAAAAATGCTAATCTTTTAAAAAAAAAAATTTGGTACGGAAAGTTCCAGCAATTTGCCTTAAGGCACGATGCCATGCGCCCCACTAGTTAACTTCCCGTAGAAGATCACTCATATTGATTTATATACATTTCGGTAGAGACTGTTGTGTAAATAACAAACCTTTTTCCAAAAATATAAAAGATATTGAAAAAATATTAATCGCTTTGTGTGTAATTTTGTGTCTCTTTTCTTTCCGATACATGCAATCGCCGTAAAAATTTGGGAAAATAATAGGTATATCACCGGGAGGATTTTTACATATTTTTTATCAAAACCAAGTGAAAAGGGTTGGCCATTAGTAAGATTTATTTTAAATTATTAAACAATTATATTTATAGTACGTTTATCTCTTTTACAACAAACGCATATCTTGTAATAATCATTATAGTAGTAGGGTAAAGCGGGGCTTAAAAATCCGCAGGAAAAAGGTCACCAAACTAGTGAAGAATGGACAGGTTTTCGGAAATTGAAACCAAAAGATACGGATAAATATAGGGTAAAGCGGAACGGTTTACCATATATGCAGTTAAAGCAGTACGATTGCTTTGGAAAAAGTTCGGAACTTCCAAAATATTTCAAAATAAAGAGAGTTTTTTTCCAAAAAAAAAATTTTTTAAATTAAACTACTTGCCGTGTGGCCGTAATATTTTAGTAAGTTCTATAGGACTATGATATATATCGCCAAAAAGAGTTCCATAAAAATCGGCTTAATTTTTTTTTCAACAGTTAATTGCAAGAAAACGGCTCGGTAGATCTTCACCTAAAACTAACCAGTATCATTCCCAACTTTTGAACGGCTTTTGATTTTTTAAAATCGATTCGGTAGTATAAGCCTAAACATGGACGAGAAGTTTAACACTATTTTCCAAAGAACAAAGAAACGGCTCAGCAGATCGTCGCACAAAACTGACAAACGATAACCCTCACCCCGTCATACATCAAACGGCTTTTAAATTTCTGAAATCGGTTCAGGCCTTTTTGAGCAAATGTCGATGAAAACTCTAATTTTGACAATCGCCTAAAAAACGTTACTAATTTTTGCTAACTTTGACAAATTTTCTTGTGGTAGAGTAAACTTGTCGGTTAGTACCTACCGTAAAAAATCATGAAAATCGTCGAAAATTTTTTTAACAAGTTATTACAAGAATACGACCCGGTCGACCTTTACCAAAAACTAATCAGGTCGATTCCCAACCAATATTTTTCGAATGGTTTTTGAATTTTCAAAATCGATTCAGAATTGCGAGCTAAAACGTGGACATTTTTTTCACTTTTCTGCGATTTACAAAAAACATTTAGGCCGATCGTCGTACAAAACCGAAAAACGCAAGTCCTCATCGAGATACATCGAATGGCTTTTAAATTTTTGAAATCGGTCCGGCCGTTTCAAGCCACCCACTTTTTTAAATTGGTAAATTTGGGAATTTTCCGATGCGTTGAAATCTATGATGGGTAAAACTTTTCCCAAAACTAATTGCACCATTCGATAGCAAAAAAAATCACTGATAACGATAGTAAAAAAAATTTTTATTTTTTTGCATTTTTAGAGGGGTCGGTGCTGACTATACTTATAGTTAGCACCGAATTTGGCCCCACCTATTTATCTCGAGAACGGAAAAAGCAAAAAAAAATTAGTTTATACCAATCGAAGCAAAACATCTTAAAAAAAAATCAGGTCATATCAGTTTTGCCAATTTCCATCATCGCGGTGCTAAGTGCAGAAATAGTATTTTTACCCATCAAAAAGCAATGACAGTAATTGCTTTGGTTTCAAAAAAATCGAAAGTAGCGTCACTTGAACTGTAACTTGTAACTTGGAAACTAATTGTCGGATTGTCATGAAGTTTTGACATACATTTTCTTAAAGTTGTTGCTTCACATAAATCCTATAGACGATTACATAACTATATTATCTATGTGTTATCCTACGGACTTATTGAGTGACGTAATAGTACTTTCGTAGTTTTAAAAACATTTGGTTGTCTATTTAAATTTTCCTATTATAAATTGTTAATTGTGGTGTTACTTTAACAACTTATACATATACATGATATATAAATTGATACATTATACATTTTGACGACATTCCGAATATATTATAGTTGTTTGATGACGATTGATTTTCATGGTATCATTTTGGTTGCGATTAAACTATATGGTGGCAACTGATTACAATTCCCAGACATAATGAAAGCGTACTAAGCATATTTTATACATATATAACTGAAATGTATAACAATTGACCTATTTTGTAAACGCAATGCGTATATCCGGCAGCTTCTTGAAATGACCACATTGCGTAATTTAAAAAAGCAAACAATTACTTAAATTTTTTTTTTAATAAATTAGCTGCCCATTATTGAATTATTCGCAGAACAAAACATACTTTATACACACACTAACCATTATCCCCTCTGTGACTTGCTTCGCCTCAACGGTTTTACAACTTCCATAATTAGAACATTTCTTATTCAAAGATTTATTCTTGCATTTTATTGGTGGCAGTTGCATCGATAAAGAAATGTTATGTTGTTGTAAAGCATTCGATAGGCACATGGTACATTTATATTTTGAATTTTCTTCGGAACTTAAACTTTGGCTCATGCACGCCTTGTGACATCCTGATGAACCACAGTAAATGCAAAGAAGTAATATCCAGTCTCTGAAATTATAGAGTTGAGATAAATGATAGTAATTAATTTTTATGGTTGAGCGGAAAAAGATGCGCAATGAAAATTGGCTCAGAATTAATTTTCAACTCTTAAAACTTTGTTCAATTTTTGTTTAATCAAAAGTTATAAATTAAGTGTAAGTGTAAAACTTTCCCGAAATGTGTCGACTTAATATAAATCGCCTTAGTGAATTAGAATTGAGATTTAGCCCCTTTTAAATTGTCACGATTCTTAAATGTGTTGAACTCATAATTAAATAAGTATGCCCATAATTATACAAACATCAACAAAATCGCATAAAAAAATTCTTCGATAATTAACTAACAAGGGAACCCTCAGGTTTACTCGTCCGGGATTTTGATGAAACTTCGCATGGTGATAGAGTTGATAATCAAACCAAACCTTGTAAAATATTATAGGCCTATGATAAGTGGTTTAATTATGAAAATTAATTAAAGTTGCTAAAAATAGACCGCGCGTTATATGATCCCGTAATAGTTATATCCTCATAGCTGTGCTCGTTGAAGCGCTTGCTCCTACGTTTTGCATTCGGATTCATAGATAAGAGAGTTAAAAGTAATCGAGTTTGAATCTCAATTTATATACTTATAATTTTTTTTTTTAATATGTATAATATATGTAATTATTTATAGGTGTGTTTCAAATAATTCAATTTTTGTTCGCAAATTATATGAAATAAAAAAATAAATATAATATTTTTGCGATATTTAACTGAACATAAAAATATGTTAAAAAAATACAAAAAATAAATTATAAGCTGTTGAGACTTCTGCTTTCAAAATTTTTCTTCTGCTATTTCCATTTGAGAATTAATATTATATCGCGTAGTTCGATTAGCATATTATTACTTTTACACAATTATATAATTGTGTAAAAATAATAATATAATACTGAATATTTTTACTGCTTAAATACCAATGATACCACTGATAAATTTTGTACTCTAAAGTGTTGTTATTTCAGGCTATGGAAAAACAAGATTAAATAAATGTATTTTGTTTCGTATATTTTTCGGTATGTATATTCCTGATTGCCGTCATTTACGGCCAAAGATTGTCGTAGTTAGAAATATCACCCCTTACTATTCAATAAATTATACATTTGAGCTATTCACACTTGAATACAATTTCATTGTTCTGTATCTTTAAAGTAACATTTTTATATTTTCTGGAGAATACACAATGGTATTTATTTTGACTTTTATGCCTAAAAAAGATCATAAAACTGCCTGCGAGACAAGAACCACTTCCTTCCGAAAGCAAAAACGACAAAAACACTAAATGCCTGTACGAGTTAACAGATTTAATACCAGTTTAAGGAAGTCGGATATGAAAAATCTTGTGAAACAACTCCACTTGTATCGGAGTGATAACTCCGGAGTGAGTTACCATCTCTAATATATATATATATATATATATATATATATATATATATATATATATATATATATATATATATATATATATATATATTGGGACGGGTCGATTTGTATGAGTAACTAGCTGTAAGTGGAATTCTGTCTTAAGGCAATTAGGGCATCGTGCCTTAAGGCAAATTGCTGGAACTTCCCTTACCAAAAATTATTATTTTTTTTAAAAACGATTAAAATTGAAAAATTGAAAAAAATTTACTTCGAAAAAATAAGATTTTTGAGAAACTATAAATTGGACAAAAAATTACTTTTTTTTGAAAAAAAAATTTTTTTAAAAAAAATTTTTTTTTAATTTTTTTTTTTTTTTTTTTTTTTTTTTATTTTGACATATTTTGGAAGATCTGAACTTGTTTTTCAGAGCAATCGTACTGCTTTAACTGCATAGAGACGAAATATAAAGCTTGTAAGCGCGGCGTCGCTGTCTAACGGGTAAACATTGATACGGAACCCATAGGAAAATAAACAAAATTTATACTTATTGTTAAAATCTCTATAAAATATCTGAAAATTTGATGTGCATATCTCTAATGATCATTTTAGACCGCCAAATGGCATTTTTTTTTACTTCTATCGTTATATCTCCGAAACCGCTAGACCTGCCTTTATGAAAATTTGATCAATTCTTTATCTTGTCAATACAAGTAAAATGATTTTTGAATTATTAAAATCGGACGCTCCGTTCTCTTAAAAACTGAGTTACCGTTTTCGGCACTTTTTGCCCCGTATCTCCGGAACGGCTAGACCTGCCTTCGCCAAAAACTAATCAGCACGTCTCCTTATCAATACGAATCGAATGTTTTTTGAATTATTCAAATCGGTTGATCCGTGTTCCCGAAATCGTCGACGAAAATTTGTATCCGCACATACACACACACACACACACACACACACACACACACACACACACGCACATACATCCATTTTTTCTAAGGTATGCCAAAATATTCAGAAACCTCTGAAACGTAAAGATATATAAAAATCTTCATTTTCGATTTTTTTGCGATTACTATAACTTACCCTACGGGAAGTTAAAAAAAAGTCGCATAGGCACATATGATATTCGTATACTAGAGATCAAAACAAGATACTATGCCGAAGAAATCATATCTCTAAAATGAATTCTGATGTGCATCCACCCAAAGATTGGGTCAAATTTTGAAAAATCCTGTTTTTTGGTTCATTTAGAGCGACCCAATAATGTCTAAATGTATGACCGACCCCCAGTAACTTTTTGGGTTTTGTTGAATTGTTTTTATGTTGTTGTAACCGTTTATTCAAGTTCTGGCTAGTTTCTCCTATGTAAATTAAATTACAATCTAAACAATTTATTTGATAGACGAGATTTCTGAGTCGTTCGATATTAAAAGGGGTTTTTGTTTTGGTAAAAATAGTGCTAGTAGTTGTACTAAAATTGGTTACAAGTCGGAGTCCAGATTTATAAAAAAAGTTTTTCCAAGGAACATACAATTCTTTAATGTATGGCAAACATATTACACCAGAATGAGTTTCTGAGTCAGGTAAATCGTTATGTACTGTGGAATTGTCTTGTGTCCTGTGTGGAATCGTTATGTACTGTGAAAAGGTACGTTCGTCTGTTACTAGTTACGAAATTTATAAGTTTTAGGGGATAGGAGTTATCTGTTAGAATTTATTATAGTACCTATTTTCATTTTGAGTGGATGATGAGAAAAATTATTAAGGTAACGTCCAGAGTTAGTTGGTTTTTGGTACCAATTTGTTATTAGTTTGTTATCCGTAGTACGTATAAGTTTTATGTCTAAGAAACTTATCGAGTTCATTGTCTCCAATTCTACTGTAAATTTTAATTTTTTATTGACGTTATTAAATTGATCAATTATCATAGTGATATCATCACTAGGGATATAAGTGATAATAACATCTACATAACGGTAATAAAAAATATGTATATTGTAATTTTTAAAAATTGTATTTTCAAGAAGTTGTAAAGATATTTCTGCTAGAGACCCCATTGGCGCCCCAAAAATTTGATAATAGAAAGAGCCATTGAATTCAAAATAAGTGTTAGAGACAATGAACTTGACAGTTTGCCTGAACCAGTGCAAAGATAAAGAAGTCAACGGGGAAATTTCATCCCATCGGATTGTTAAAGCATCTAAAATAAGGTCTAGGGGTACATTAGTAAAAAGTGAGACTACGTCTAAGCTAATTAGTTTTTAGTTGTCTGGTATATAATTGATCTTGTGTTTTAAGTCAGTAACGAGTTCATAAGAATTTTTTATGTAGTGTGGTGATTGTTTTGTTATTGTAGTTATAATATATATATATATATATATATATATATATATATATATATATGAGTTCTTGAGGGCGATACATCAAACAAAGAAAAGCCAAAGATTTATAAAATAATCTTTATTTCCAAACGTTTCGACATTCAATTTAATGTCATCATCAGTGGATCTAAAAACAGTATGAAAATTAGTATATCTAGGTAATTATAATATATGTGGATTGGTAAAGTAACTATACAATAAGAGAAAAATTAACAAACAGCAACACTTAACAACAAACCAAATATAAAAGATAGGAAAGATAGTAGAGACTAGAATTAAATAAATAATTAAAAAGTATAGGCAAAAATATCTAAGTACACTCATATAAACCTACGCATATATACATATATATACATACACATATACACACACATACATATATATATATATATATATATATATATATATATATACATGCATATATACATACACACACACATGCAAACATATAATACGCATATACATATACAGATACAACAATATATACCTACATATGTACACATATACATGTACGACTATACATATATAAATATACGTATATACATATATGCAATGTGCATGCATATTCACAACGACGTACATGTACATGTATGAAACATACTTATACTTATACCTATCTATGTAACTATAGCTATACACGTATACACATACATATACGCATAAACATGTATATATACATATATACATACATACATATATACATATATACGAGGTCTGTTCAAAAAGTACCCGGAATTACTAATAATTAAATTTCGCGGGTCTGGAGTGTCTGATTGTCAAAATTTTTTTTTATTGTGTTGGTATACATGCCCCTAAAGTATGATGAAATTTTCAGCTATATTCACTGTTTACTTTGTCTGTGGTAGTCGCTAAGGTTCGACGTGTTTTTCTGAGCTCGGCGATTTTTACAATGGAAGAATTGAAAAGTCAAAGAATTTGTATTAAATTTTGCGTAAAAAATGAAATAAAGTGTTGCAAAGTGCAAAAATTCACCAGATATGGCTCCGTGTGACTTTTTCCTATTCCCAAAGTTGAAGAGACCCATGAAAGGACGGCGGTTTTCCTCGATTGAAGAAAATCGCTGAGAGTGCTCAAGGACATATCAAAAAGTGAATATCAAGGGTGCTTCGAAAATTGGAAAAAACGCTGGCATAAGTGTATTATATCTGGGGGGGACTACTTTGAAGGGGACCACATTAATGTAGACGAATAAATAAATATT